CAAACACCGTCTGTTTCAGATGAACTAGGCCATAGAACGGGTCCAAATTTTCTTAAACTTAGAAAAGTTATTGACAAAAGAATACGGCACGAACTTCACGTGCAAAGCCTCGAACAATATGTACTGGCAGGTACGGCTCCGAAGGGGCTGCGCTTGTCGCTAACCCCATCAATGCATAACTTTGCCGAAAGGGATATGAAACGGTGGAACGAAATTCTTGATCATGCCACACAGGAGCTAACTAAGGTCACCATCGAACACTGTAGAAAGACTCTAAACGCACTGACAGACGAGGAGCGGTAAATAAGAAATAACTTTTCTCTTTCGGAGTGGGAAGCTAAAGAACTCATCGTATTTGAGCACAAAAAAACGGAGGAAATTCAAAAACTTAAGAGGAAAAAATTTGCGCGGGACAATGTGTCACAAGCTATACCCACTGCTGCTTACAGAAAAAATACCAAACCATCTCACGTTCAAAAAAATTTGCCACCACACCCCAAAGAGCCAAACGTTATTAACCTTTCCGATAAAGAACTTGGCAAAGAAGAATTGAGTATACTATCATGCGGACTTACATTCTGCCCTGGCAACGGAAGGTACGATGAATTCACGCTCCTAAAAGACCTAGACGACTTCGCACGAAATTTACGATTGGAGGAATATTTCTTTGATAAACCCGAAAAACATAACGCACTTTTTCGTGGGGCAATCGGACGGCAATGGACCCCAGACGCCAACAGAACTCGACATCTGGATCTCTATATAGACGCGGTTCAAAAAGATGTTATACATGCGTACAAGGTGCACAAACCAAGCATGAATAACATATCAAAAAGAGAAAAAGAGGCACTACTCACGTTGAGCAACTGCGAAGATCTCGTCATTAAACCAGCAGAAAAAGGAGGCGCGATTGTTGTACTGAATAGATCGGACTAAATTGAGGAAGGCAAGCGACAGCTAAATAACAAACAATTCTACAAACACCTCGACTTTGACCCTACCACGGAGCACAAAAAGATCATTGTAACAACCCTAGAGAACCTCACACGTAAAGGCGCCATTGATTCAAAGCTTAAAAAGGCACTTATTACGGTACATTCGGCGCCTGGTCGTTTTTACATGCTGCCGAAGATTCATAAAGAGAATAACCCTGGCAGACCCATTATATCAGGCACGGGAACGTTAACGGAGCCCATTTCCAGTTATATTGATTCTTTAATCAAAGACATACCACCCACACATGAGTCCTTCTTGCGTGACACAAACCATTTCCTTCGGGAAATAGCAGACGTGAAAATTCCAGACGGTGCATTTCTCATAACATTGGATGTTAGCTGGCTCTACACAAATATCCCACATGACGATGGTGTAAGGGCGCTTGTTGAGTCGTATGGCACACACAACCCTGTCGCTTATCCAAGCAAAAAAGTAATTGAAATCTTCACAAGACTTGTACTCGAATTGAACAGCTTTGAATTTAACAACCAGTACTACCTTCAAATCAGCGGCACGGCAATGGGTACAAGAATGGCCCCAAACTACGCTAACATATTCATGCACCAATAGAGTCCAATTTTCTTTCATCTTGTGATATCAAACCATTATTCTATAAACGGTACCTAGATGATATATTCATAATTTGGACACATTCGAAAAACGAGCTCCTCAAATTCATACAGGCATTCAACCAGGTACACCCCAGCATTTATATTACACACTCCTACTCTAACACTGAAATAAACTTTCTTGGTGTACTCATTCGAGTTGACGATGGTGCATTGGTAACTAGCGTATACAGAAAACCTATGGACAGGCAACAATACCTGCACTTCAAAAGCTGCCACCCGCGACATTGCAAGACCAGCATTCCCTATTCCCAAGCACACAGATTCCGACGAATCTGCTCCCGCACGGAGGACTTCCACAAAAACAGCACACATATGCGCGAAGTACTCCTTATTCAAGAATACCCGCCAGCTATCATCGATGACGCCATCAAAAAAGCTGAAAATCTGGACTGCCAGATTCTTCTCAACCACCAGAAAAACACCGACCAACACCGCAACAAAAACTTGCTCTTAACTTTCACGAGCAACCCACAGAACATAAACAAGGTCCTAAGAAAACACTTTAACATATTGGAACAGAGCGTGCGACTATCCAAAATTTTCACTTCTCCTTGTGTTGTATACAGACGGCCGAAAAATATAAAGGATCATTTAATAAATTCAAAGATAGGTGTGAAATCTCAAACTGGGTGTCACCCTTGCGGAAAAAGCAGATGCAAGGTATGCAAACACATGCAGACAACGACAGTGGCGAAAATCACCCACTCGGATTTTAAGCACAGGATAAGAGGTGCACTAGACTGTAACTCAGACAACGTCATATACCTCCTGGAATGTGGGGTATGTAACAAGCAATACGTGGACCAGACAGACACTCCGTTTAGAATTAGATTCAACAACCATCAGGCACATGTACGATCTCTGCCAGGCCTTCCACTTTCAAAACACTGCACATTAAAAGACCACAGCTTTGATGACATCAAGGTTACACTACTAGAAAACAACTTTTGAATAATCAGAGAACGGGAACGAGAATCTTATTTCATCTACAAATTTAACACGATAAAATACGGAATAAATGAACACCCAGGCACTCTGTCAGCGTTACGACCGCTAAAAGACGCAAACGCTTCTCTCTAATCAGTCCGGTTTCATTACGACGATAATATCACCCGCTAACAAAGCTTTTAGCCTATGCATCTGACAATATAGAAATCATTTGCCGCATCAAGCACAGCCGGAACGCACAGATAAGTGCGTCCCGGATGTCGTACGGTCCCCCCCCCCCCCCCTTTTTTTCTTTCCTTTTTTTTTTTTCTTTAAGTTTTAATGCACATTCTGTTCCTTCACTGACAAAGAGCTGACAGCTAGGTGGTTTCCTTAACTTTATCATACACGCGCATGTCTTCCCAGTCAGCCGCAACTGTGTGGTGACTGTCCCGGATGTTGTACAGTCTCCTCCCCCCCCCCCCCGTTCTTTTTTTCTTCTTTAATTTTTAACGCACATTCTGTTCGTTCACTGACAAGGAGCCACTGCACATAATGAATATCGATGGCGGCGCCTCAATCACCGGCTTTTTCATTCCTCCCGACGCCACCAGCACGCACTCGAAGCGCTTAAGCTCCCCCATTAACTTTTCCTAAACTTCAAAGAGGAACGAGCCGCTAGCGGACTACACGGAAAGGTGAAATACAAGAACGGCGGCGCACTGCCCACTTGGGGAAGAGTGGGTGCGGGGGAGGTATTGTTGACAATGATGACATTGCTCATCTACTTCTGCCCTACTCTGTTTAGATGCTGCCCCTTTCTAATTACGCCGTGTCGGTCTTGCTTCTTCTCCTAGATTTTTTAATGTTTCTCGTCTCGTTTCGCTGTTTCTTCTTTTTTTTCTCTCTTTCTCTTTTCTTTTTTTTTACTTTTCTTTTGACCCCTTCCCTCCTGTCTCGACAGGCTATAAGAAGACACGGAACATGTGTAAATATTATTATGCCTTGAAAAAGACGGGGTTCCCGTCGAAACGTCGGCACAATAAACAGTTCTTATGTGAAAGCGCATCTACTTTCATATTTATAACCTTGCGGCAACCAAGTTATTCTTCTGTATATATATATATATATATATATATATATATATATTATATATATATATATATATATATATATATATATATATATATATATATATATATATGTATGTATGTATGTATGTATATATATATATATATTCTTGCCTTATGAACTATCAAAAAATTTGAATGCCACTTCTAATGATATATACTTTCGCAGCCTCTCTAATAAAGTTACGAGGAGAGAGTCACCATGTTTATAGAAACCACTTTTATCCAGCATTTGAAGCTGAATTACTTTCCATGAATAACATGGAAAATATTCGAATCATATTTCTTTTATGGTTTTAAGCATATAAAAACTATGTTACGGAAATCGTGACCTTCTTTCCTGGGCGACAAGACATTTTTTTTTTTTTTTTTTTTGGCTTTCCAGAAACTTATGACATACCTACAACAGAACAACGACAAATGGACTTTCAGGACAGCAAATCCTGACGCCATTTCTCGTAAATTGTGTTCATGTGGTTGGGCTTTGAGTTTCGTATTTGCAAGAAACGACCGTTGGTTGGCACGGGCAGTTTTGTGACCTTCACTCACTGTATGCTTACGAGCATAGAGTGAGCAAAGTCTCTACACCATTTACACTCCTGCTCTGATGCACAGATAATTAAAAAAGACGGTGGCGTGCCACGCAAAGATATACAGCAAAACAAAAAACCTACACATGGTAGCTGGCGAGAAAGGGGAGAGAGAAGCGAGGGGATTCAGCATAATAAAAAACAGTTTTATAACATCAACGGGCAAGGAGCCGCCACATGTCAGTTTGTGGAACTGGAGTGGATGAATGTAGGGGTGAATTTATCATGCGAGCGAAAAAAATCCAAATTTTGATGACTAAGGTTGGAGGTGCATATTATGCGAGTTCGATATATCCGGGATTGACTGTATTGGAAAACAACAATGATGACAAGCACAAGGATGCTACTGGATGGCACTAGTACGTCTGACAAACCTGTCACCGAGTTCATGGTTCTGCACAAGTTATCATATGAAACGAGAGGTATGCAATATCATATGGAAAAATCGAGCCTTTCAATGCATTTCCTCTATAAGAAATTTGCCAGAACTGCATTAAGCTGTTGTAGGACGTGGGAACTCCCAAAATCAGGGGACACAGAATGAGAGTTGCACTTTACATGGTGCACGATTCCTTGTGGGCTGACATTGGACATATTTATCAAAGGTGATATAATTTTCTTGGGCTAAGTTATATTAGAAAACAGAGGGCCAGCACTCAGGACATCTGCCGCCAAAGGGTTTCAGATCTCTGAAACAGAGGGTAAATAATAAAAGATGTTCTTACTTTTGTTTTGCCACCCTTGTTCTCTTTGCTTGGCGCTTTGTCAAGTGAGGTTCCGCTAGGTGACTCCGGTGGAGCATCATCCTCAAAGTCCAGTTCTCCTTCCAGGGGCTCCATAGAGCGGCTGTTGAGGCACTTCTTTGCCATGGGCACAGCAGGGGCTGCCTCCGCGGCATCCGTACTGATGTTCTCGGTTAACTGGCAATGAACATTTCATTGACTTTTTCAACACTTATTTGAATCTTGAAACCTTAAATATTAGGCAAACCTTGGTAACTAATACCATATGTATGCCCGCTTTAACTTAACTGTTGTAGCTCTATGCAGAACACACAAACTGCAATAAAAGCTCCTGAATTTGGGAATATTAAAAAACTATTGCTCAAGAGACAAATCATCAAATTTAAAAGAAAAGCAATAATGAAAAATTTTCATTGCATGTATGGACTTCTTCTTGGCGCTAAATTCACAACTTCACATTTGCAGAAAAATCTTCATCAGCCTCTTCACTATCTGACAGTGCTAGAGGAAAAAAAAAAAAAATGATGTTTCCAATACATCAGCTGACCTGGTTCAAGTGCAAAGAGAAAAAAAGACAAGGCAAATATCATTTTTGAAGGGTAAAAATGGGTTTCCACAAAAGGGGACTTTACTGTAAAGTACCATAAAAACTGCCCACTCCACCTGCTGAAAATTTTTATTATGAAGTCAGGGAAAGCCACGCTAAGACGACCAAAGCGCGGCAGCATTTCCAACTCAAAGGTGGATACACAAAAGCCTGCACCAATGGGTGTGTACTCCAGACTGATGTCATGAGCCGGCCGGCGGTTGACCCCAGCTGCAGAGAATGTTGCCGAGAGCAAGTGCACGACTATTTCTTTAGTAGCTGAGGCGACTAGCCGCCGCGCTATAGTCGGGGCATCCCCTGACTTCTAATGAGTTGTATCAGACTATAGGTAAATGTGCTGGTCCAGTCGAAACAGAAAAAAACAAGATGGCAGCCAACAAAGCAGTGCTATGGTGGCTACAATATTGAAGAAAGTATGGTTATTTTGAAATTGTAAATGAGGGTGTACACTAATGCCTACTCATCATCAATAAACACAGCGAATGACTCATTCAGCTCAGCTAAAGGCATTATCCAAGTCTTCATTGAAGACGGGCCCACCATCCGTGACCTTGCATTTAAATTTCTTCTTGCCACAGTTTCAGTGCCTTAAGACAACGTGCTTAGAGTCCCTCGTAGTGGATTCTTTTTATATCTATCTTGAAAAGCCAAGAGATGCAGCTCACATCCTCTTTGAAAGCGCAGTGCTACTCGACGGCTCTAATCTTCCTGGTGACAGTATAGGAGCGCATCATGCGGCTAAAGGAGTGCTGTAACGGCCACAATGAGGCGAGTAATTCGGCTTATGCTGACACTTTGGAAAGATTCTGAGGTTTTCGCAATTTTAATACTGGGCCCACAATACTTTATGGTAGCTGCAAATGAGCAAAAACAGGTACACATATTTCCAGCCTAACAGTGCAATTGATGGCAGGTGCCTCACCACTAGGCAGTGCAAATAGGTAGTTAGGCATGTGCTCATGTGATTCATATGACCTCAAATACTTTTATTATTTATTTTATTTATTTGTGGAATACTGCAGGCCAAAAAGACCCAAGCCGGGCCTTTTTGGCCCTGCTTGGGCCTTTTTCACAAGGAAACATGCTCAAGGCAGCTATTAAACACTTTGAAAGAGTTTTTGCTGATGAAAAAAAATAAAATTAGATTTGTATAGAAATTAACAAGCATTTTCAATCTATCTAACATTAAATTATAAAAAAATTGAAATAAATGAGGGGTGAAGTTTTACTGAAACAATTTTCCATGGTTCTACAAATTTCGGTTTATCCAGATTGCCCTATAGATGTCCAAATATTAAAGTATCTACATTAACAAAGGTTATCCCATTCTGCTTAATCTTTTCCACTGGGTGCGGCCAGTTGAACACTTGACTGCTCGCAAAAAGTTACTTATCTTTCACTGTGTTCGCAAACTACATTTCAGAAACCACCACGTTTGCTGGTCCCTATTACCTGTAAGCAATCTAGGATCACCATATTTACATGATTGTAGGTTGACCTGTTTAATTGTAACACTGAACTGAGAAGGGGTGGGGGTAATATCAACATAAAATGAAAACTAAACCTAGCAATACTGCCACTAATGGCAAGACAAATGAGTATTAATCGAATCTAGGCCGATAGCTTTTTCTTTTTTTCCATTTCTTTGCACCAAACTCCAGGGTTGGCTAACATTAAAGAATTTTGAAAAACGTGCCATTTTTCATTGAGAAAGAGGAGTGCAACTAGTGCCACCTAGATGGCACTATAGCCGTTACACCAACACCTGGCTTGAGTACACACATGAAGCCGCCATTTTGATAATTGTGGCGAGTGTTGAGGCAAGTGTAGCTCAATGGTGCCAAACAGGCGGTATCATTATAGTGCCACTTATAAAAAGAACGTAAAAACCACGGATTCTCCGTCCAACGTTCAAGCCGGGCAGGGCTTTGGAGTGGAGTGTTGCTGGAGGGGCTGCAGCGTAGGACGACAACCCAGAAGCTTTGAGTGTGTGCTCTTTTAAAGGAACCGACAACTGCCCAAAACATAAAATGAGATGACTGCACGGATATAAAAATTGTCCCTCATAGAACTCCATTTTCCTCGTGAGAAGTGGAGTTTTATTTTTATTTCTTCATTAAAAATCGCAAATATAGCCTGTGGCGCTACCTGGTGGCATAAATTCCGAGCTGTCCTATCAGGTTACCGAGCTGCCCTGGGGCGCTATGCCGGATCAGCCGAGATTCGCGAAACTAAGGATTTCTTCCTAAATCTGGCGACACCCTCTTATGAATGAGCCAACAGTACGAAAACATCAAATACACCTCTCAGCGCGCTGCGTTTCATTGGTTACAATAAAACCTGTCACCGCGTCAAGGACGGTCGACTAAGTTGGGCAGTGTTTTCAAACCAGAAGCATCTTCTTCCGTTTATTTGTCGTTCCACTCAGTGCAGAAGCGCACCCTGTCATCACTGGGGACTGGCAGTGCAAAAGACGCCCATCAGCTGAGCTCTCTCATGTGGTGCTCGTCAACGAGAACACTGTCTGCGTCACACAAGAGTGTGGAAACACTCCCAATAGCACTGCAAGGAACGCGCACTGGCGTGCCAGTAACACACAGTCCGCGTCGCACACAAACTCTGTGACACGCAGTCGGTGTTTCGGGAGAAGCACGAGCACGGACAGAGGTGATAAAGGGCGCGTCGCATGTGCGCAGGGGTGCTGCTCTCTCTCAGTGGCCGCATAGCGTTCACCGCATCAAACGCTTATTAGTCACACCGGCACCATCACAGTCACGAGTTGAACTCTGGCCTTCTCAGAATCAACGAGTTTGTATGCGAGATCACGCGTCCATCAGTTTGATTGACAGACACCCCCGGCGAATATCGAGTCCACCCATCACCTTTGTTCTTGCCGAGGAGCAGTGCTCACGCCGCAACGGCAGCGAGCGCACGGCTCATCTAACAGCTTTATCGCGCAGACTATGCACACACACACGCAGAAGTAAAGGTTATGTCACCATGCGCCTGCTAAAAAGAAGGTTTAGAATAGCGCACCACGAGCCTTTCGATGTGATCGCTGCCACTGCGCATGCATCGTTACGCGAGGTGCCGTTCGCGTTCACAGCCCACCCGCAGAAAATTTGAAATAGCGTGCGGTGATCGTGGCCTGCGAAGTGCTGTGTATAGTTTCCGTGCATTTGGGTTTGCGGTCGGGGTGAAAGACCCTTCACTTTTCTTTAGGGCGAGCAAACGCTATTCTAAAACTCATATGGCGCCTGCAACTAAAGCAACACCGGCAACACTTGCGATGTTATTCTCAACCTCATTATGTCCCGTATTCAATTTTACCACACTCACGACATATCCAATCACAGCCACGTTGCCGACAACATGCGAGCGCCCTTGGTGAGCACCTGTCCTTACATTTATCCGCAATACTTGATAGAAGCGAAACGAGCAGTACGAGAGTGCTGCGTGTGCAGCCTTGCTGCCTCCGAGAGCGGAAATTTCCATGCTGCAGGTGGAACGAATGAACCTGTGCGAAAGAGGACATACGCCCACGAACACGTCTGTGGGAGGCACGTGTACTGCACGGCAATCACGCTGACGTCGCTGCACTGCTAAAATGTTGAGTGAGTGGCAGCGCTGACGTGGTCGCATGTGGTGCTTCTTTGATAACCGCCGCAAATGTTCCACATGCGTTTTCAACGCAACGCGCATCTGTGTAGCCATTTTTATCAATGCTGCTACCACGCGCTCCGCACTATCTTCATGCCATGGCCACCGCAAGCGAGCTCGGAGCAAACTCCGCTGCCCAAGATGCTCGGGCCATCCTGCATAGCACCCCTGTCATTTGACCGTAAACTAGTGTGCGCAGTCAACAATTTTCCTGTTAGTATTGACACATTGTTTGCTTCTTTATAGTTAAAAATATTGCTCCACAAAATGTACTGATAGGCCTGCTTTAGTAGTGGGCAATAAAGTGGCACTGACTTCGCATAACGTAATAGACAGTTATAGTATACCAGGCTTACCACGTATCATGACCGGAATCAAAGTGTGCATGTGCAGATACGTACTTTACGCGTACTGGTTACCATACGCACGGTATTTTTCAGATTTCACATTACTGTGTTAGCATAGGTGTACATAAACATGGCGGCGCTCTTGGATGCCCACTTTGAAGGGATTTTGGCATTGTTTAAAGATTCACCTTGTTCGCAGCAAACGACTGTTTCAAGTGGCTTCGCTTGCCTTCAGATAGCTTTGACGACTGAGTATTACGGATAAGTTGGCGTAGTTCTTGAGATAGCTTTCCATTTTGAACGTGTCAACGCCTAACTGGAAGATCTGTGTAAACAAATCTGCAAGGTAAAATTTTTCACTTCTGGGGCACGGTTCATATTTATTTACTTTTATTATTACTAAAATAAATTTGTAACAATGCTTCGCGCGGTGACATAGGCAGGCATTCTCGTTTTCATTTTCTTTTCATTCTTTTTACTTCTCAAACCTCCGATAGGTGGCGCCATCATCCAACTGGGGCACGTAAACCACGTAAACATTATTCTGCTAAACTATATGACGC